CTTTCCCTCTCTGTTTTAAGCTGTCTGTCCTTCTCTGCTTCTCTCAGTTTCTCTCTCCCATGTTTGCGTCGACACTCACTTAACTGATTCCCTTTCACCGACTCCTCAGGCTCTTCAGCTCTGGCCTTGTCATTGGTTCAGTCCATCAATTGTGTCTTTGTCGATTGTCAGAGCTGTAGAATCTTGTCAGCGTGACATCATCGGTGTCATTGTTCCACTGGACCAATTAAACATTGTTTTGTGCATCGAGACATGTTTTATCTGTGTGAATCTAGAAGGATACGTTAGTACAACCTTAGCCTAACCCTTTAGCATCATTCAGCATTTTCTGTTATTGTTTAATTGTCTTTTATATGAATGGACTCAAACTTGGAAATTTTTAGACTGAGATTTTGATCAAATGCACGACAAACACAAAAATATTAAAAATAAAATAGAAAATAAATTCAGAATACTATGAAAAACTATTTCAGACAAATACTTGTAACTGTGATGAGCCAAGTGTGGTCAACTGGACCGAAGACGTCCACTAACGTGGCTGTGTGTGGATCCTTTGTGAAAAATGTCTCCAGGAATCAGAACCTGCAGTCATTTCCTCACTGTCACACATTCTGACATTTGAACTGGTTCTCATTTCAGGTTCTGTCCCCACTGTCGGACTCTATCCTTGCAGAGAAGACTATAAATGTGTTGGACGACAAGGTACGTCTGCGTGAAGCTGTGTCTTTGGCCACTGAGCCACATGTCTCTTAGACTTATTTTCTGGTGACCCATATTTTAAAAGTCACAAACCCTCAAGCTGACTCTTTTTACTGATTCGGATCTTTGACTCTCGAACAGCAAAATGAACGAATCGTGAAAAAATAATTTCATTCATTTAACAACAGGGGGCGCTGCAGCCCTATTGTGGGCATTTTAAAAAAGGCTTCGGTTCTCCGACACTAAATTTGTTGATATAAGTTTTCGAAAATATTTATTTACAAACACACTTTACACAATAACACCATAAACATCTACCACTAATTATGATTTCATGAGTAAATAATTTATGTCCGGTGTCACGTGACAAAAGAACGAGGACCTGAGGATGGACACTGAGAATTAATCACTCACTCATTACTGGCAGGAGTAACGAGTGAGTGATTCATTCTCAGCGTTCGTGAGTGATTCATGATTTGTAAGTGATTCTTGAGATCAATATTAACAAATCTCTCATATGACTCGTGACTCCCGAGTCATACGAGAGATTCGTTCATGTGTGTACTTTTGGTTTTTGTTTTTCTAAAATCCACCCAAAGGCGGACAACGGCTAAGAATGAAATGTTTTTTTGTTTTTTGTTTTTTTTTTTTGATGCAGGTGACAATCACGGATATGGGCATCCAGCTGGTTTCATCTCTGTCCATCAGCCTGGTGTCCAGTCCAGGGTTAGCTCAGGCTATCCAGCTAACGACGACAGCTGCCGACCTGCTGCACACACTGAAACAGGTAACACAGGGCGAGAGACGTAGAGAGAGAGAGAGAGAGAGAGTGATGGACAGTATTATGGTCTGTTTCCCTCGGGTCGTAATCATAGCGGTGTTAAACATCGCACACACTGTAATTTTACTGTGATTATTTCCATCATGGTTTTTTTATAATTAGCAGAGTGTAACTTCAACGCTAACACGTGAAACCACCACCGGGCATTTTAATAACAATCAAATTATTATTAACACGACAAAGTTTTGTTTTTTTCATTCTATTTGAAACTCAATTAATCTCTGACCTACATAATTTAACTATATTATATTTTTAGTTTATTGAAATACAGATATAATAAAAGGTACTTTTACAGCTTCATGAATGTTAATATTGACAGAGATCATCATTATCATGTAGTTATATGACGAAAACATTTTTTAAATTTACATCTATGTTTTTCTAATTATTGCTTTTTATCCAAAGGGTAATTTCATTAAAACATTCATTTATTTTCTTTTTTTCTCACCAGTTATTTTTTATCTGCATCTGTAACTGTTTTGTGCCAAAGATGGTGCCACTAAACGTACTGTATGAAAAAAACCTGGACTTGATTTGACTCCACATTTTATTCTTGATCAAATCGACTCTGGTTCTTAGAACTTTATTACTTTTTTCTCACTGACTGAATAAAAATATCCATTTCATTTTCTGGTTCTGTTCAGGAAGCTGCGGTCAGTGCCTGGATCCAGTACAGTGACGGTTCAGTGACTCCACTGGACATCTATGACCCCAAGGACTTCTTCCTGTCTGCCATCTCACTGGACGAGAGCGTCATCTCTGTAATCAATCAGGTGCTGGTTTCCTCAGAACTACATATTAAATTTTGTTTTATTAACATTAAAAATGATTTAATTTTTAGGATTTACTTATCCCACAATTGGGAAATTCACAGTAATTTTTTTCACCTCATAGTGTTCCAAGTGTTGGGAACCTCTGATCTAAGTACCTTAGATCTAGCGACCTTTGTTCACTATTTTAAGCGATTTTAAGGAAATGTAGTTATTGTTCTGTTATTGGTCTAAATCTGGTCTGTGAAGTACCTTGAAAACTACGTACAAAATACTTGCATATATTTCATAACCTCTATCATATACTGACTATGAGCCTGTTTGCTGCCCTTGTGCATCAGGAACGGCACTGGCCGACCATCGTAGCCGAGGGTGACGGACAAGGACCCCTGGTCCGAGTAGAGATGGTGATCTCAGAGATCTGTCAGAAGTCCAACAGGAAGAGCATCCTGGCGTCTGGGATCGGCAATGTGTTGGTGAAATTTGCAGCAAAAACTGAGGAGAAAGTGGAGTCAGGGAGGGGGGGACAAGAGGAGGGGATAGACAACACCACTAACAGCCAGCTGACACAGGAAGAAAAAGAGTGGAAGGCCAACAGTGCAGCGGTGGATCGAGAGGAAGGAGCCATGAGGAAGGTGAGGAAGGATCGAAGAAAGGACGATCTATCTATCTTTATATCTATCTATCGATCTATCGATCTATTTATCAAACTCAATGGAACATCAAATTTTTAGGTATTGGAACTTTAGCAGGTTTTGTTCTATGTTTTCCCCAAAACATAGAACAGAAAAAAGAACTGCAAGGAACTGTATTTCAGTTCTTAGAAGAGACAAAGATGTCCTCCTGAATAGAAAGTGGAGATAGAGGGAGAAAAAAAGATCTGTCTGCGAACTTTTTGACTTCCTCTTCTGTGTTTATATTTCCTTTTATCTCCAGGTCAGCCCGACGACCAAGGGCACAGTCATCACCCGTGCCTCAGGCGGCAAAGCATCGGGTGGAGGCAGTGGCCGGGGCAGCGGTCCAAGGAAAGCGGGTGACCACAGGGGTGTCCCGACTCAGGTGGAAATCCCAGTGACTGGGGGCAGTGAGCTGACTCACACCAGCCGAGGCCTGTCAGACCTGGAGATTGGGATGTACGCTCTGCTGGGAGTCTTCTGTTTGGCCATTCTGGTCTTTCTCATCAATTGCGTCAGTTTTGCTTTCAGGTAAAATGATGGTTGTTGTTAAGAACATTTTCTTTATTACCGGACAAAAGACTGGCCAAGTAATAAATCCGGTCAATTTGATTCTTTCGTTTTAAAGCCTAGTGTTTTTTTTTTCTTCTGCTGCTGCTGTGTCTCCATGAGCGTTGCATGAGCAACGCTGGTCTTCAGGCTAGGGGGCTTGTTTACTAGACTCGGGTGGTTAGTGTTAGCTTCTAAGCTAACAAGCTTGACAAGGCTGTGGCAAAAACACCTTTAGATTTATACTATAAGAATGAATAAATAAATGCCCCAAACGACTGAGAGAATGTCAATGTTGAGAATGAGCATCTGGTTTTCAACCTTTGTTTTAGACAGAAAGAGGCTGAAGTAAATGCAGGGGGGGCGGGGGGAGGGTTTGGGAGGGGGCAGTAAGTCTATACCGTCCACCTGCCAACAACATTTTGCCCAGTACTGCCTGACAGTATAGATGTACTGACCAAAAAGCCATTTTCTTCAGGTTGTTCCTCTAAATTAGGAACAGCACTGTTGTAGCTGAGGTGTCACTCCAGTCCCAACGAGGATTTAAAAAAAAAAACACGAAGTATTTCAAGTTATTTTTCTCAGTTGATGCTGGTATTTCATGTTGATGATGAGAAGTGATGTTTTTGATCATTAATTTAAGTTGTTTTGTTAAAAATAAAGAGATGTTACTGTAATAACTTGGGATTGTCTCGATAAGATACTCTCAATGTACCCATTGAGAGTATCTGATCAGTCAGATATTTGGTCAGATTTTGATCAAAATTTTAGGATTGAAAATCAACAAAATCTTGAGCTATTGGATTGATATTGATATTTACAAATACTCCAAGTGTGGTATCGGACATGAAGTGTTAAAAAAAAAAAAAATTCTGACTTGTGTTTTGTTGAAGCTCCTCTTCCTGAACTACAGTTCTCTCCTTTCAGATTTCGTCATAAACAAGTCCCTGTTCTGGAGTCAGGTGACAACATGAACCACGCCCACGACTGGGTGTGGCTCAGCCATGAGGCTGATCTTCTGAGCGACCACAGTGACCACTGCCAGCCCAGTCTGCCGGACGAGTGCACCACCATCATCGACAAGAGCGAGGGCGGGTATGAGGAGAACAAGTACTTGCTTAACGGGGCCAGCAGCACCTTGGTGATGGGCATGGGCATGGGCACGTGCATAGGCACAATTAGCAGAGGTGGTGGCACGGTTGGACGCTGCGGCATCGCTCAAGGACAAACCTTACCCCGATCTGTCCCAGAATCACATCAGTGCCTTTCAGCAATCACCACCAGTGGCAAAGAAGCCACGAATCACCCTAAGCATTTAGGTAGTTCCCCCCACGCATCGTTGGCTGCCAAACGCAAACATGTCCAGTTCACCATCCCGCCCAACGATAGTTCAGGTGCGAGCGGTGCGTACAGCAACACCACCAATGGGAACGAGGATGACATCAAGTGGGTGTGTCAGGATATGGACCTGGGTCAGTCTGAAATCAAAACCTACATGGAGAGGGTACAAGACAATCTGTGACTGAGCGAAAGATAAACTGGGAGACGGCAGAGGGTGAGGGTGAGGGAAGGGGGGAGGACAGTAGTTACAATTCACCTGCTTTGCCTTTGAAATGGATGAAGGGAGGAAAACAGAAGGACAAAGGACACAGGTGACATAAAAGAGATGTTACTGAACTGATGGTGTAAAGCAACAGGTTTTCCTTATTTTATTTTTTTTTGTACATTATCTCACCAACATTTATTTCTTTAAATTATTTAAAAAATATATAAAGTCCAACATAGAAAATCAAGATGAAACAGAATTCGACCTCGGTGGACAGCTCCTGGGGCTGAATTGGAACCTAAAGCCAACGGCTTACTGAACTGTCAGGTTGCTCCAGAAAAACGGTTGTAGGTAAAATCATCCACCAAATTAAGTATCAGGCTTAGCACTGAAGTACCATTTCGCAGCAGTCACTGTTTAAATTGGTACCTGGTCTGTACTTGTATTATATATATTCTACTTTTAACTACCCTGATTTACACCGCAGGTTTTTGCCATCTCACCCAGTGGAATCAAACCCACAACCTTATGTGTGTGAGCATCTGCACTACCTACTGTGGAATGTGAGTGTGTAAGTTGATTCCATCCCAGTGTCTCTGTTACATCAATTCATAAATGAGGTTGACTCTCTCGCTGCGCCACTGTACGTCATGTCGGATGGATATGCTATCCGACCTAGCCTACACCTGGTGTTAGTGGATAATCTATTTATCTAGTTAATAAACGGGGAGAATAAATAAACACTATAACTTGATCACATGTTATTTATTGTATCAGTATGTATCAGCCATCAGTATTTAATCAACTATTAAACTGGTGCTGGTTTTTATTTACAGATTATTTTTTTTCTAACTTATGTTTAAAAAGTTCTGTTAGGCAACTGGACGTGAATTTTCTAAAAGAAGACATTTCACCTCTAATCCAAGAGCCTTCTTCGGTTCTAACTGGTGGGGGTGGGTTTCGGTTTTTCGGTTTCGACTCACTGCACTGAATGGCATAAACCACATTATCCAACTTGTTTTGTTGGAGTCTTGTCTTTGGGATGAACGGGTTTTTGTCTTAGGGTGTTGCCAGGTTTGAAATGTACGGGTATCTGGTGTTGGTTAAAGATCCATCTAAGTTTTTCCAAAACTCCTGAAATGTATGGAATGATCATCCCTCTTTGTGGGCCTCTTTTTGTTTGTTTAAAAAAAAAAGCCCATCCGGGATAGCCACAGATCTTGAGATCTGTCCTAATGTGTCCCTGTTCTCTCATCTAACCTCTGTTGGTGGTGGGAATGGTGTCTGCCCGTGACTGTAGGGTTCTGACGACTCCTAATTTGTGCTCCAGTGGGTGGTGTGAGTCAAAATGGAGATACTGGTCGGTGTGGGTTGGTTTCCTGTGTTGAGTTGTCTGTCCTCTGAGATGTGAACCGCACAGTCCAGGAACGTAAGACTGTTGTTTTTCACATCTTCTCTGGTGAACTTAACGTTCCTGTCCACTGCGTTGATGTGGTCTGTGAAGTTGTCGACCTCATGGACCTTGATTTTGTCATCCACATATCGGAACCAGTGGCTGGGTGACGTTCCCATGTAGGAGTTGTAGAGCTCGGCTCTCCACTTCCTCCATGTAGAGATTCGCCACTATGGGAGACACAGGAGAGCCCATATCCACAGCCATGTTTCTGTCTGTAGAAGGACTTGTTGAACTGGAAGTAAGTGGTGGTGAGAAATCCAAAAGGACACAAATGTGGTCAATGGTCAGGTTGGTTCTTACCGGGAAGTAAGCCCCCATCAGACTCTTACACTTTCACAGTCGACCCCAAGGCCCCACCCAACAGGGTGGAGCTGAAGTAGCTTTACTCTTTCACACCTAGAGTATATATCTGCTGTACTCCCCACCACCAGTTAGAACTGAAGAAGCCTCTTGGATGAGGGGTGAAACTTCTTGCCTAACAGAACTTTTTTTAAACTTGACCTTGACCTGGATGACAGAGAATCTTTATAGACATGTTTCTAACTTATGAGTGAAGTTGACCCACTGAGCCACTGTACAAACAAGAAATAGACTGTTTTTTTTTTCTACGTCGTGACTTTAAATATTCATTTTGGTAAAATACACCCAAATATGTACAAACATATATAACAAAAACGCACCTTTTCATGCATTTTGCAGTCACCAGTAAAAAGTGCCCGTCGGCACTGTAGTCAGGATGGAACCGATGTGTCCCGGTACTTTCCTCCCTTCAGTCCACGACACAGGCATTAAAAACTTGCACAATGACAAACAGGAATGGACCTGAGCCATACGTTAGGCTTCATCCCTGTGTTCAGTCTGCGCCGCCGCGCCGCCCTCTGTCTGTGTCTGCGGCTGAACACAATGGACCTAATGGACACACAGGCATCTGTGACAGTCTGTAAACTACAGTGGGACGGACACCTGTGTCCATCTTAAAGCCTGATGGGACGTCTAGTCATGAGGGTTATTTATAATGATACCATGTGAACCTGGAGACAGTGTTGTATATGGAGTACTCTCATGGTACTCCCAGAGTACTCTCATAGTATTACAATACAGATGACCACATTTTGGTATAAACTGATAGATATGGGTTCATTAAACGCCTTCACTGTTTGAACTCTAACGATTAGATACGCTCATATATATATACATATATATATAGTATTCATTTTTTCTTTTTTGAAATTGAAAACGTATTATGTTTTCCTAATTTAAGATGTTATAAATAATTGTAGCCTTTTGTTTCTAGACGTTTGTTAAGATTTAAGGGTTGTTTTTTTTTTTCTTTTTTTTTTTAGAGCTCTATTTATTTATATATTTCAGGGGTGAGGGAGAGAGAATGGAATAAACAAAGCTGCGGGGGAGTGATAGCACATCCATTATCATGACAGGTATTGTTGTGCACGCTTCAGTTGATGGAAACGAGGGTAAGTCGAAATGTTCTAAGACAGACGTTTTCAGTGTTGGATTTAATAAATATTATATTTTTTACCTGCTCAGAAATTGTTTTTAACCGAACTTGAATTGAAAATTGTTAAAATGACCAAAGTTTCGCAACAGGCTTTGATTTAGCCTGATCTTATTTAGCTCTGGTCTCGAAACTAAAGCAGGTCATGACCTAGTGACTCCACTAAAGAAGAGTTTAGGTGAGGAGAAAAGACTTACCCTGGAACGTCACACCGACTCAGTCAATTGTTTTGTTTAATAAAAACACCATATTTTCCAGAGTAAATGTCGCTCTGGTGAATTATTAACATTTGTTTTTTCATGAGAACGATATGGGTTAGTTGTGTCCTTTTTTTTTAACGGTCCAGTAGCAACACTCAGTTGTCCCCATTGTCCACAGTGCCATCTTGGGGTCAAAGGTAATATAAGGTACATTTTTCTTTATAGTAGTGATATCTGATATGTTGATATTTTCCTAACACAGATTTTCTGATTCCAATATCAACCGATACAGACATAGACCTGGTAATATTTATTTATTTATCTGTACAAACCACTGTATGAGTTGATGGCACCAGCATTCTGCATACAATCCCCTGATTATTAAAATAGATTAATTAAATTAGCTGCGATGCTGCCATCTAGTGGCTTTTACCTTAATATACTTTATATTAAGGTAATATATTTTTAGGGCACACATTATTTGACGAAACCCAGACATTGGGTTATCGGGTTTTCATTATCAGAGGAAAAGCTGATAATGATTCTAACAGATGTTACATAATTATGCGAATATCAGGCCGATAATATCGGTTGGCTGATTCAACTTTTTAGCAAAGAAACATTCTTTTCAGTTTAAACTGTAACAGTGACTATATTTGAATCAGTAAAGAGCGTGCAGTCGGGCAGATTGCAGATCGCAAATTAGCCCAACTTATGTAAAGTTGTGATGAGGCTAACGGCATATACGTCGTTTCTGTATATAATCAGTACAACCAGCAACTACTACCAGAGCGTGACTTGAAGTCTGGAAAATATGGTTGGCAGCCACAGGCTACTTACACAAGGCTAATACTCGAGTGAAGTGACTTTGGTGTAGAATGACTTAATGCACACACATACACATACTTGTTCTACATTTATATTAGAAATCGTATTCATTTGTTCATATTTTCCAACATCAGTGATCATCAGTCTTTTGATCTAATCAGTCATCAGTCAAAAAACGATGCAGTTTGTGTCACGGAGCATTCACAGCATTGGTGCCTGGTACCATTGTCTCTTTATGTCACGGCATTCATTGTGATGAACCCACGAGAGGGGATGTTAAGCTCAGGTGACAAGTCATGAGAAACTCTTCAATAACAGGACTGTACGATTGTCACGACTGCAATATTTATTTATACTTGTGTTGCTGTTACAGTGTAAGCTGTACTGTATGTTGTAAAAAAAAAAAAAAAAAAAAAAAAAAAAAAAAACATCTTAAAAAAAGTGCTTGTGAAGAAGACTGTGGGTCGCTAGCCGACCATGATGGATATATTTTGTACATTTGTTGGTGCCCAGAACTATCTGCCATCACAATGTAAAAGAAGCAGTGATTAAAAAGGAAAAAAAAAAATCAGTTTTTTATTACAGTCTCTGGTCTTTGTACAGAGAATCGGTACAAGGAATCGGTTTCCCTCAGAGTAAAACCGAACCACTCTGGGTCTTTACTTCATCAGAGAACTGTTGGGAAACAACAACATAAACTGGATTAGTGCCTAACGAGCAAGAATTAACGGGAGAAGAGAAATAATTATACAAAATGAAAATCACCACCGAATTATTGAGTTCAGAGAAGAAGGAAATATATGTATTTTAAACAGTAATTACGGCAAAGCAGTGTTTTTCAATCTTGGGGTTGCAACTCGATGTGAGATCGCCTAGAATTCGAATGGGGTCACCTGAATTACATATTCTATATTAATATATATATATATATATATATATTATATATATATATATATATATATATATTATATATATATATATATATATATTTAATATATATATTTAATATTAAAAAATTGTCAATAAATGTTTTATATAAATATATATTATTAAAAAAAAATTGATAAAAACAGGACACACAGTTTAAATTCCCTACCATGTATATAAATCTAGTTCAAATAAAACGCAACTGACACATCTTGACTGACAGCTGGGATTGGTGTGAGAAAAAAAAAATCTCGTCAAAAGACAAAAAATGTTGGGAACCTAAAAAAATATAAAAAAATGCTGAAGAAAAGTAAATTAAATAAATGGATGGGAACATGTAAAACTGTAGACATTTAATTAAATAAAACATAAAAATCTTTTATTTATTCACATTATTTTATTTTTACAAACCAAGAACATCAGCTGTAAAACCACAGGCCAGAGCTTCAGGGCAAGAATTTTGGTCAAAAGTTTTATTGATATAAAATCTTAAACCCTGACTTTTCTCTTGTGGTTTAATTTAAAGATGTTTTCAGTTTTTTCTGTTTTTAAATAAAAGCAAAAAAGAGAGAAAAAAAAAACAACAACTTTAACATACTGTATTTTTCTGACTATTAGTCGCACCAGCCGAAGGATAAAAAAAGTGCGACTTATAGTCTGGAAAAAACAGTATATTGAAGTTGTTTTTAACGTTTAACCTGTTTTTAACTACAGTACTTAACAGTGAATTTAGGAAATGTACAACTCCAACTCCTTTCAATTTAACTTTTTCCAACATTCTTCCCGGAGACGTTTCATCTTTGGCTAATTTTAAAACATCACAGAGACAAAGCGACGACTGAGCCTTTGGCCAAACGGACAGAAAACCATCAGTGTTGTTAATTACAGGGACAAATGTGACATAATTAAAGAGCTTCTTTTTTTTTTTTCTCCAGGGTGAGAGTTAGAGTTATC